ATTCCATATCAGTTCAAGACTTTCCTTTTCTCCGCCAATTAAGTATACTTAATCCTTAAAGACAACAAAACAAGAAACATTTATCTACTCTGACTGGGATTTCTCGAAACAAGGGAGAAAATTTGATTTTACTCGGAAAAAAATATGGGAGGATTAGCGATCACCTCGCCTCATAACAGAAGCGAAAAAACATCTATCCAGCGACGAACAGCGTTGAAGACTGAACCAAATGTACCATTTCGTTTTCGAAAAAAGCTTTTGATATTTTTCGTGGTCGTGTCCCCACCCTTGGTGGGGTCTCGAAAATTTTTCGATCTCGAAAGATTATGAGAGACACATTATTCGATGCGCAATTCAGCGCTAATCCCAAATGTAACCAGCCGCCAGCTTGAAAATGCATTTTGAGTGAGAAAAAAATCATTTCTCGTCGAAGGTGACTTTCGCTCTTCCCGAAGTCTGGCCTGCTGGATCGACAAAAAGTTTTTTGGAAAGGTGCAAAATAGTCGACAATAAGTGAAAATAGCCGGCCGTTCTGATTATATAATGAAAAAACGTTTTAGACATCGTTAAATGATCAAAAACGTCAAGTCACCTGCAAAATGCTTGAAAATCGTCTCCGTTCTGGAACTGTTTTTCACACTGTGGCCCCCGTTTCAGGAAGGGTAAGGTCAAATTTGGCCAGTATAGCTAACTTTTGATACTCTATCGACTGGCGTTAATAGAAAAGCGGGGAAAAGGAACCGTCAGGTCGAAGCCGAAAACCTGGTTTTCTAGAAACCGCCTAGAAATCACATAGAAACTAAAAAAGCTTTTCTGTGTTTATAGGTGGATAGAGCGTCGAATTCTGAACAAAAAGAGATGTGAACGGACTCCCCACGGCTCTATTTGGCAGAGATATGAGAGATGGAATTCTAGAAGCGAATTTTGCCCAAAAAGCGGCTCGAAAACTGGATTTTTTTAAGTCGTATTTCTTCGATTTTTTTGGGGGCTGAGGTGATCGCTTATCCTCCCACATCCTTTAAATTTTCAAATTTAAATTTACTTTTTTTTAAGCTTAGCTGTGCACATCGACGTGCTCTTTCGACGGAGACGTTCCTTGACACCCCTTGACACTAAAAGCGGCGGAAGAAAACATAAAATACTTAAATTTCGGTTTCTGAAACTGCGGTTTTTGTATATTCCATAACTCCGAGAAAAACGGTCTAAAAACTTTTTCGGCCCCGAAATTCAACAAGGAATCGAATGAGCTAATAAAAAGTAACTTACATGTTCGTTTTTTTTCGTGTGTCGCTGAATGCTTAGTCCTCTTGCAATTCCTCACTTAAAATTCGAAAGACTTCGTATGTTTAAATTGTGAAACAGTGGAATTTTCAGTAGAATCGCAGTAGCGTTCGGGTTATTAAGTTTGCGTCCAAGCCGAAAGATTTGACTTGCTACAAACCTGTTGAAAAAGAAGTTACACATCGTGACTAATTTTGGAAACAACGGTCGACAGTGATGAAAAAAACGGGCGAGAATCGTCCAAGTATTTCTCCATGAAACTCATGTTTTGAGAGAAAAATAAGATCATATTCGGAATTAACATTGAAAAATTTGTTTTCTAACTACTTTTTTGCGAAAATTTCCATCCAGAACAGTTCAAAAAGTGTTTCTTTTCCATTTTATTAAATGCAACTGAAAAACTGTTTTAAAACGCAAAAATGTTTATTTTAGAAAATTTTTATTTTTTGAACTTTGAGGACTTCCAGTAGTCTAAAAGACGGACATTTTTGCAGACTTCATCTATGGATACTCCACAATTAAAATATGGCAGAAATATGTTCACGACGATGAATTAAACTGTTCTGTAGAAGTCGAATGGTCCTTAGAATATCCTGGAATTTATAGCCAAAATGAATGATACTTTCCTGAGATACTGGGTTTTAACAAAATGTTAATAAATTGCAATAAGGCCAGAAAAGCTGATGTCTTGAAGCTTCAATATCTCAGTGGAAGACCATCCGTTTTGGCTGAAACTTTCAGGGTATTTTAAAGGCTGTTAAGCCTGTTTATCGACACAATTTCATCTTGATATTGCTTTGCTTCGATTCAAGAGGTATTCGTGTTCTTTTTTTCGGTGGGACTTTTGGAACACCCTGTAAATTATGTGTAAATAGCCAAGAAGATTATTATAATTAGTTATTGGCGGAAAAATGGCCTAAAAGCGTCTATGATAAAAATATATTAATTATAAAACTAGATTTTACCCCTACACTGTATATTTATATATGGACTTTTCGAAAATCAAAAAGTCCTGTATAATAAAAGTTTTCCCTTGAATTTAATATTGCATCTTTACAAAAAATTGCAATAAAAAAGTAGACAGTTTGATCAAGCATTTTTTGTGAAGATGCAATATTAAATTCAAGGGAAAACTTTTGAAGATAATGTTCAATAATATGTAATGGAAAATCATTTCCAAGAAATGTCATTTCAATATATAGACGTTCTTGATCAAAGTCATATATATTAGAACAATAATGAGCAGCTCGAATAAGTGCCGATCGAAAATAATAATTATAGATTAATTGTGCATGACTAACAACATACGGTAAAACATAAGCTTGAATATTTGGATCATGATACATAGATGTAGACAAATGACCCTCTTGATTTTCAAGATGAATATTTAAAAAATTTAGATTTATACCGAGAAAACTTTCAATATGAATATCTGACTGGTACTGATTAAGATCAAGTAAAAGCTGACCAAGATCATTTTTTGTATCATTATAAGTAAAAAATCCGGTTTCTCTAAATCTATTAAAGTAAAAAATAAAATAACCCTGAATGGATACCAAAAAAAACCCAACCTTCCATAAAATTCATTTTTCATTATTGGTTTATTCAAAAGATATAATTGCCATTCCAATAAAAATATATTTCCTAATGTTTCACTAAATCGTAAAGAATCTGGACTACCTTTTCCAAATCGATAAATTTTTCCATCGTAATAAAAATTATTATTTGTTAAAAATAATTGAGTCAAATCTTGAATTGCTATAATCGATAGATAGGTAGGAAGACGATTATGAGTTAGACGTTTCGTTAGAAAACGACCTAATGTGTTGAGAATAATGATATGAGGTGATACTGAATACAAATTTAAAATCTTAAATGTAGCGAATAATGTTGTTGAACGAAAACGAGATTTAGATTTTGTATATGTATTAAATTGACGAATAAAATCAGCACCATTAAGAAATATTGTCGCTCGACAAGCACCATCGACTAATGGTCGAAGTAATTGATAAGGAAAACGTGTTAGTTCATTGACTGGACTATAGAGACAAGAAATAAACGGTTGCACAATGGTCTTATTATCCTAAATGGAACAAAAGCGTAATGATCAAATCAATAAATTGACAAAGCATTGTGAACATTTACCTTGCTTATTTTAGATAAGAAATATAAATAGGAGAAATTCAATTTTGGATCGTTGAACATGTAATTTATTTAATAATTCTTCCTTGATATGTTGATCTGTCTGTATAGTTTTCAATTTCAAATTAATCTTCTGAACGATTTGATCAAGTATTTGCAATAGCCTATTATTTTTTTCATCGATCGTATCAACTAATTCAAAGATATTCGTTGTTGTTGTTGTCAGATATTCCTGGATATTTGTTTCAAATTCACTCACATCTCCAAGATAAAAAACATTTTGTTGCTGTTCGTTTTAAAATCAACTTGTTGTCGTTCAAATATTTTCGTATTCATTGAACATTTTTTTTATTATGATTTTTATTATGAATTATGATTATTGCGTGTGAAGAGTCATTGAGTACATTTTGAAATCAAAACACAAAGCAAAAATACACCTTTATAGCCGCGTCCTCAATAACTCTCTTGAGAAGGTGCAGGCGCAAAGGGCAGCATCAATGGTGCGGGTGAAGGCGGAAATCTTGATCCTGCGTAAGAATTCTTGGTTTTTCTATGTATATTTCATATCAATAGACATGCTGCGCGTATCTTTATGTCTGATTGAACAACAGACTTGAACGTTTGAATTAAACCTTTGAATTATCTATGGATGTTTGTTAAAAACACTTTCCCTGACTACAACGATCAATAACATTTCTATACGGTTGCGATGGCAACGAAGAAAAATCTTCGATTTTCTATGGATTTTAGACAAATATTAATCATCTTAGCGTATTTGAGCATTGAGCGGCGTTTTAGCATATTTGAGCATTTCAGTTAAATTGAGCATTCGAGCGAATTGGAACGTCTTGGCATAGTACAGCATTTTAACAAATCTGAACGTTTCAATAAGTTTGAGCATTTTAGCGACATCGAGAGGGTTCTTATGTTTTTCTGAGCATTCCATTAAAAATACGCGTCAATACACTGTTCCCAGAGCATTTTGTCCAATTTCTACCCAATATACGTTGCCATGCTTACTATACATGCGTGGTGGGAGGAAAACCGTTGGTTTTCTCGGGATTTCTCGTCAAGATATGCCCTCTGATCACTCACTCCTTTCTGTGCGCTCAGCTGGCCCTTCGGGCCATCCTTCGCTATTTGTTTTGACATAGCTTCTGTCATATTCTATGGATTTCTGATCGAGATACGATTGGACTGATGAAAAATTAGACTTTTTTTAGTATTTCTATATGGTTGCCATGGTAACGAGAAAATTCCTTCGATTTTCTATGGATTTTCCTCATCAATATATGCGCCATGCATGGCTGATCGGAATTGAAGAAATTTTATTATAACATTTAACAGGTATATATTCTTTTATTTTTATATATATTATTAAACGTAAAACAATATTTAAGATAAAGGATATCTTCATCCTCTTATTATTGATTAAATTACAGATCTTCACATCGAAATTAGAGTTAAAATATCTTCAGAATGAAACATATTTTCATTGATATTATCTCAATGTAAACATTTAAATGTTTTGACCTTTAGTCAGTGGTTCAGTGATCAAAGCTTAACAATATCAATTTCTAATCTTCCATCAACAAATTGTTTATCATCACGTTTAACTAAATTAAATATCTATGTTAATACTTTTGATGACTGTCTTTATCGTCTGGATGGACGTCTTCCGTGTTTGTCAACATTAATCGTTAATATAATTCAAATTTTCGATGCATCATCGAATATAGACAATACGGTAAAGAACTTTTATTATCTTATCCAACATAATTCTAGTTTTAATAGAAAAAACTTGCTTAACTAAAATGTTTCTCATTAGAATCGTATTGTCATACGTTTTTCTATGATAATCGAATTGTTTCATTACTTCATTGTAAATCTTGAAGAATTAATATTATTTATTTCAGTAACAAGACTTGAACTGACTTATATTTATCGAAATCATTTATATAATCAAATTCTCCATTATATGCCACGATTCAATCAATTTACATTCTATATATCTACCGTTGCTTATAGTATCAACAGAAAAATTGATCTTTCAGCGAATAATCATATTCAATGTAGTTTTATTGGAAGAGAAAAACAACAAGTTGGTTCGTATGTGAATAACAATTCAACAATGATAGCAGGCGAATGTCGTATCTATTCAATTCCATATCAGTTCAAGACTTTCCTTTTCTCCGCCAATTAAGTATACTTAATCCTTAAAGACAACAAAACAAGAAACATTTATCTACTCTGACCACATTTCGTCATTTAGTGGAACTTCATCTTAATTTAGCACATGTTGATTATGTTGAACAATTTCTCTTCGAAAGAAATACTAATCTACCTTGTTTATTAAGTCTTGAAATGAAATATGAAACATTAGTAATTGTAACAAATAATTTTACTAATGATGTATCACGTGTGCTCAGTTGCAATATCTTATTATAAAAGAAGCATTTGTTTGTCCAGAAAATTTTCATGGATATTTTCCATTATTGTAACATGATATACATGTTTTATACTATTGATAATTCGTAGATTTCGATCGGAACAAACAAATTGATCGAAGAAATTTCTTGAAAAAAAATCTGCACATAATAATAAACAATTCTATTAACACAAAATTAGTTTCAGTTTAACTATCTTAATAAAGAAATATAATTCAGTTATCGTTCAAATCAAAAAAATTTGAGAATAAATAGTTCAATGTTGAACTTATAATATGTTAATTGTTATCTCATTCAAAAAATTAAGGAGAAAGTCAAGCTACGCTGTCCGTCTGCTAGTGTTACTCGTATAGAGTCATCATTCACAGTAAGACAACTTGGATAAGTCTGTAAAATTTTCCTGCAATTGATGAACTTCACAAATAGTCATCCATTTCTTTAATAACTAACGAATTATAACGATATAGAGAAGATCAGTGTGCCCTAACGTCTACGATTCACTCAATTCTCTATACAAATTTACCCGTAACACATCGGTCGTCTGTTAGTAAATCAGAGTAGAAAATGTATGCTAGCAGATGGATAGATCGAAACACTACTCGGAAATACCTTGGTTAATATTAATTCACACTAAAGTGGAATTGAAATTCAAATACAGTGTGTTTAATGTGTACGACTAATATTATAACCGGTTAACTGTAGAAGCCAGAGATCGACAATGAATCGAACGAAATCTGAACCGAGCTCAACCCGAATAATTTTTAAAAAGTAAGTGAATGCACGCAAAACGTATAAGTAATATGATTTATACAACTTTGATTTCTTTTATGAAATTGTAATGTTGTTGATAATGATTAAACGACGTTCGATTGATTGTTTTACATACTTTATTTAATCTCGGTATAACTTAACGTTTACTATTTATAACAATACGATAGCGCTCATTCTACGGATTCTCTGACTCTTTTCTCAAAGAAACTACCAGTCTTTAATAAGAAGTTTCGTCAGAATGGCCTGTTAGTTTTTAACGCTCGCTTTCGTATTGAGTTGTTTGAAGGAAACATCGCAAATATTCATCGCATTTTCCTTCCAAAACGTGCCTAATCTTAATTTTAGAAATAAGTTTCTTCAAACCTATTTTCTAAAGCATGTCTCTGATATGCAGTAGAGACCAAACCGAACCACCTCTTGAAAAATCGAACCGGGTCGAACTCGAGCCAGTAAAGTTCAGTCCAATTCGGTCTCTGATAGACGCTTTACTATATTTGATCCTAATAACAAAATCAAACAATTTTCTGTTGTATTTAGAGATAAGAAACGAGTTTTTGTTAAGATATTTTTGGTCAAAAAATATCATCATAAATAATTGTAGCTATTAATTTCTTATAAAGACCGAGGTCTGTTAGTTTGAATGTCTCTGATCACTAAACTTTCTTAACACTGATTAATAATGATGTCTAACTGGCATGGACTTGACGAGAATTAGATCTGATGTCGAAATGTATAGTATAAAAGACTGAACCTAACTGAGGATTCCGGTCAAATATCGACAACGACAGAAGAACTTATGAAATTCTCAAAAAAAGTATGCAAGAGTCAGACTTTTTAACCAACTAACACAATTAAAAAAGTAGTCTAATATCGACTTTCTATCTTAATCGTATGCAAATTGTAGCAATCTTCAAAAAACAAGAAATATTTCGTACAGGACATATCACACTTAAAGATTGCGATTTTGTTGTCGTTTACTCGAAATGTTCTTCATAGATACATTTGAATGGAAATTTTTAAGTCCTCTAGAGAAAATGTGTCGTTTTTATTTCTGAGTTACAATGACACAATTCGATGAATGTAAGAATGAAAACATTTTTTCTTCGGTAGCAACTATATAATGCTAATAGACCTTGAAATTTTTTCTTTTTGTGCTTCCTCTATAATTGTCAGTCGTCTTTTTTATACTGCATAATTAATATGCTTATTCATTGGAATTTTTTCTGGTTGACAACCATAAGAAAGAAAGAGTAAGCGTAGTTGTACATCTATAAAAGGTTAGCGAAATAGTTTGTTTTCATTCTTTATTTAATCGATTGCATTTTATTCAAATCAATCTACGTATGGCTTCTGCTGCACAAACACTGGCAAATAATGACAAGAAAACACTGAGCGCAAATCAACTAGCCATTCTGATGCAAGCGAGCGGAAACAGCAGCGAAAGCTCACTCCAGAGTGACTATGGTCAGCTATTGAAAATATATTGTGACTGTCCTCCATCTTTTTCATATTAATTTAGTTTAAATATTATATAGAATTAATGTAGCTCACCAAAGAAATATCGATAGTCATTCATTCTAAATGTATAACTGATGTCTACCTCAGAATTGACAACAACAATAGCTAGAAGCTTGGGAGTTTTAGTGATCGATTGAGTAGACTTTAGGTTATTTGTTTTTGTTTGATATTCTATAAGGCAAAATTATTTTAAAATTCATTATCTTGAGGAAATATGCAGTGTACTATGAAAAACAATGTTCCATTTCAAAGAAATGTATCTGATGTGAATGTTAAAATCAAAATTCGATATCGGTTTTGTGCATTTTTCTGAATGTTTTTCTAAAATGAGGAATCTGAAAATGATTCGTTCTTATATAATCTATGCTAAACAATGAGTCAATTTGACAGGGCTTTATCAAAGAGAAATTGTCTAACTAATAAATACAATTTTGTTTTATTCGATAAAACTCTTTCTCTGAAGAAAAAGTTTTTTTCATTCATTCAACTTGTCATACTACAATAGCCTTTTTTCAAAGTTATTATTGATTGATGAGCATTCTATTTTTATGCCTCACATGTATGTTAGTAATGCTAACCTGTCCTATTTATAGTTCATATTTATTATAAATCAACAAAAAGTTAATACACAAATTAAATTCTTTTCTTTTAGAGACGCTCTGGAAAAGCTTTCCAAAAGGTTATCTGACGGAGGAAGAGTTCGTCGCAAAGTTTCATGAATCAGAAATGTTCGGCAAAGATAACAATTTTAGTCCAGCAAAACAATTATTCAGCTTGATTGATCAAAATAAATCAGGTATGTTATGTGCTTTCTCATATTTTTATATTGATTTAGATTATAAGCTAAATCAATACTACTATAGTAGTATTGCTGTTGTAAGAAGAAAGTAGTAGAAAGGCTTTAGCATCTTACAAATACTGCACATATCAGTATCTATTCAAAGTTCATCTATGTTTTTGTGGTAACTATTTGTTTTTATCGTCACTTTGTAGCGTCGAAAGTCGGTATAGTCTTCGAACGGTGGAGAAATTCTTTTAGAATAGTACTATATTTTAATTTTGAAAGAATCAAAGTCAATTTTCTTGCGATGTACATTTGAATTTTCATCCGAGCCTATAACAAGTGTTAATCCGATGTTATTATAATATTGAAAATTTTTTAGTTTTTTTTTCTATGATAGATGTGTCTGATGGATAAATTAAATAGATTTGTAAGATGATATGTTTATAAACGTTTGATTGATGCACTAGCTGAAGCTAAGAAAACGTATTCTTTAAAAGTATTCTGTCATAGGATGAGGCATGACTGTCAAAGCAGACAATCAATTTTTTTAGTTCTTTGTTAAAATGTGTTTGTCCATTGAATTTTAGTAGTGCGCATTATATAAAACAATGCACAAAAGCATGTTTTGCTTTTTTTTAAACTTTGTTAACTGTGGTACGAGTGAGAGGTGAGAATGATTGAATTTTTAAAAATTTTAATGGAATTGGACTCTCTGATTTTGATGCTTCTATGAAATAAATGAGAATATTCACTTTACCTATCCACATCGACTCGCACCCTTTTGTATGTTAGATTAGAAAGATATTTCACATAGATCGAAAGAGTCTGGTTTAAAAATGTAAATTCACTGATGTTTGTCTGTCTGTTGTGTAACTGCCAATGATCAGTTGTACCATAGCTATCACTTATGATCATTTCCATAATAATTGTCTACAAGTGTTGAAATATTATCTTTAAGATCAATAATGATTATGACATCACATAATCATCAGGAAAGATTCAAGGAATAATCCGATCGGCACTCCATTGGAAGATACAATCACAAATAGAAATGAGTTTCCTTTGGAAATGGCACGGCCTATAACACTATTGTATAATCGAATGCGTCTCCTTTTCGCTGTAAAACAAAATTACAGTGATTGTAGTTATTATTTTTATTTGTATATTTAGGCACGGTGGATCTGTTTGAATATCAGTTGGCATTCATCCTAGTGAGCAACCAAAATCCCAACATGATAATGAGTTATCTTTTCAAAATGTTTGATTCCGATAAAAATGGTCTACTGAGCCAAGCTGAAGTCATCGATGTACTGAATACATTCTTTTCCTTAATCGTTCGCAACAATGATGATGGTACTCAGGAGAAACCGAACTATAGCTTGAAAGAAATTAAGAATGACATAATCAATGCTTTTGGTGACAAAACAGAAATATCCCAAAAGGAATTATTCGAAGTCTGCAAGAAAAGCCCTATAATTCAAGATTTTGGTACGCGCCTACAAACTGTAAATACGATTAGCATGGTAGTTGGCGACTGTGACCTTCAATAATGGCATTGATCGGTTATCGTTTACTTTATCTAAAATATCTTTTCAAATAATATATTATATAATCTATTATATAATTAATATTCAAATAATATATATAACATAAATATATTATATAATTCTAGATATTCGATGTACTCAAACTCTTAGATACCCACTAATCCACTAACTAGTTTGGAATACCTTTATTAGCTTTATAAATCTTACATAAAAGCTTCATAAATCATCCTAGAAGAACTTCTTACTACACTTCATTTTCTTTAATCGTGATACTGTTATAAAAATAATAAAACTGCCATCCTTTGATTTTATCACAGTTCAAGACTGTCTTGAGGGGGTGAAGGAGTGAGTTGGAGCTGCCATAATCCGGATTTCGATCTCTGCTCAAGAGATCTCATCAGATGGCTTTTTAAATCCAACGCTGAGTATGCATGAAATTAATTCATCAAGTATGATGTTTTCAATGGTGTGCAGACTAGCAGAATCGTTTATTTTTTTTGACGAAACCCCGCAAGAACAAATAACAGAATCAAAGAGGCCGTGGACAAATAATCATTATTTGGTTGTCGACAGATGTTGTTCTCGCATATTCTTTAAGTCGTTGTCTTCGTTTGTTTGCGCCTCTGTTTTTTTCCAATTGCGCTGTAGGTGCAGTGGCCCATTTTGAGCCTGGAGTTGTTCAAAGAACCGTTTATCTTGCGGCTATTCACGTGTATCAATATTCCATTCCGATGTCAATTTGAATCCGAACCGTATTTGGTTTTTCTGTCAATTAGCATTCATAGGCATCAACGCTTACCTTGTGCTGTTGCTGTTGTTTCCATTCCTCGTTTGACTGATGTTTATGGTCTGCTGGTGCTGATAGCATTGAAGATGAGGAAGATGAATTCATATTTCTGTGTTCGAATATGTTGAAATCAAGATCTAGAACACTCTTCGACAATGAGTCATGTTGAGAAGCAAAGTTCTTTTTAAAGCTGTCATTCAGTTGTGA